ACACACACACACACACACACACACACACACACACACACACGGGAGTGGGTAGAGAGGCAGAGGCACAAAAACTGGCTCAGAGTACTTGCTGCTCTTCCAAAGGACCTGGACTCTGATTTCAGTGGCCATGCTGGGCAGCTCACAATCACGTGCAACTCCCCTCCTCTCTGGGTTTAACTGCCAGGAAGCCTATTAGCATCCCTACCTCCTACTTGCAAGTTTTACTCAGGGCGCCAGCTCCACCTTGTCACAGCTGAGTTCAGAGGGCACAGGCACCCTCCTCCAGGTTGCCTGTCTTCAGACTCATGGCATGACCTTACAGCACCTTCCAGAAGTTCCTCGAAACTCAGCTGTCCACACCCACTCTGTCAGGGAGTTCATCGCACTGTTCTCTAGGACCCCTCATTTCTGTGATGTACTCTTAAAATCTACTGTTCACCCCTGGAACCATCAGATTATCACTGCTAATCCCCATGTCCTCCCTACCCTGAGAACAAATATAGCAGAGTGCTCCTTCCCCATGGAGTGCTCCTTCCCCATGGAGCTTACAGCCTAACAAGGCGAAGACAGTGGACATCCAGTCCTCCCCAAAGGCGGGGATGTGTTTGGGGTATAGGGAAGTTACTATGGAGCAACCGGAATGTCCTGTGCCAAGTTCAGAGAGCTGGAGGAGGTGGACAACCCCTGGCAGAGAATGAACAGTAGGGGGCACCCTAGGGTTCCATTAAGAAGCAAAAGCAGCCCAATGAAGGGTGTGAGGCACAGCTCACAGCTCAAGTTATGTAAGTCATTATGATGAAGAAGACAGCAGGAGGGGCTGGAGAGATGCCTGCTAAAAGGTAGGGCACGCTCATGCCCATCAACAGGTGAACGGATAAGCAAGCGTGCAGCACCCACTCACAGGTTATTCCAATATCAGGGGAAGGAGGAAGCAAAACAGCTTCCAACACGAGAAGGAGCAAGGGAAAGGAGCCAAGCCCAATAGCACACAAAGCAGGCATAGTTACAGCTGCGTTCATACGAAGATCCAAAACAGGCAACTCTCAGGCGGAAAGCAGGTGAGAAGTGAGTGGCACTGGGCCAGGGAGAAGGCGGTGCCTAGCATCCGGGTGATGAAAATGCTCTCGATCGGATGCTAGCGATGGCATGGGGCCTGCGATGTAGGAAAAACATCCAACTCCCTGTGGGTGACTAGGACATGGGAATTGTGTCTCCACAACACAGAGTGGAAAGGGCTTCTGAAGCCTTCCAGAAGAGGACAGCACTGAGCAGGGTAGCAGAGAGCGGAGGAAAGCCGTCCAATGGAGGGCTCCGGTGGAGATGGGTCCAAGCATACACAGGGCCTGCGGCCCAGTCCCAAGCACTTGCCTGCATATGAAACATGAGGCCTTTCTCACTGGTGCCTTCCCTTTAACGTATAACTATACTGTCTTAAAACAGATCGGCATTCTTGCTTGGGAAGAAGACCGATGTTGACCTTTCTAGAGTGAAAAGCTCAGAAAACAAACAGCCTTTGAGTCCACGGGCTCGGGGTGGGTGCTCTCAGAACAAACCAGCACATACTCAGGTGTCAGGCTCTCTGGTGTCTGCCCTAGAGAGTGAATCGTGCTGAAGACATGATTCAGGACCCGTGAGCTCCTGATACATAATCCCTTTCAAGAAGACAGATTTTTATTGCCACACTTGAGGCAGCCCCTTGGAATCCAAGACCATAAAATCGATAGATCAGGCGGTGCCCCAGACTCCAAGTTCACCTCCAGGATCTCTCTGGCCAGACCACAGCTCCATGGCAGTTCAGACAGAGCCCCTCCTAACTCTGCTCATGGTAGGCTGCAGGACGACAGAGGCAACTATGAGCCTCAAAAGCCTGTGCAAAGAACTCCAGAGGAGGGGAAAAGACCCCATATTTACGACATGCCTGATATTTAGACAAAGTGTTTCTTGTGCTTGACAATGAAGATTAAATGTTACTGCATCTCAGCACGTGCCGCAAATCCTCAGAGTGGAACCACGGGGAAGTTAATAGAGGCTTCGCATAGCAGGTCTTGAGTCCGTCCTCCCCCAGACCCAAGACCCTCATGGCAGGTTGTTTATTGGGGTCACCCCCTCCCTTCTTCTGGAGGGGGTGTATATTCCCCTTGTAAAAACACAAGGAACATAGTAGGTACTTGTACTTAACCCAAGACCCCCAGCGATGGGAAGAAAACTACACAAAATGTCTCACCCTTCCTTTGACCAAGCCACTTCAAGAAGTCCTTTTAATATGCGTCTATTTCTCAAAGTAAATGAAAGGCAAACACAGAACATCCCATGCCAAGGGCACTCTTGGGGAACTGCAGGTGAGGCACTGTCGGACATTACCCTACTGCTACTGTGTGTCTAATGGAGGAAGGTAACCAACCAATCCCTTCCTCTTAGTATATAGTTCATCACCTGACTGAGAACTTTTAATCGAAATGTAAGGTTTTTATTTCATATTCCAACATATTCCACAGGAAAGACATCTCTGGAGGTGGAAAAGCTAACACTTCCCCCCAAGTAACTCTACAAAGAGATTGTACTTTGAATTCTCATTGAATTAAAATATACATTTTACTACACCTGACTTACAAAATAATTCCACCCTCACTCCTGTACTGCAGCTTCTACTGGGCAAGTTTTGTGGCGTCCAAACCCAGCGGGTTCACAACTCTGACTGGATTTTGGAGTCCCCTCTGACCTTGTAAATCCACCTGCCCCCAGCCAAACTGTCAATCACCACCAAAGTCCCCGAGGGGACAGCAGAGAAGGTTAAAGCCACCAGCTCATCGCAGAGGTGAACTCAGAGCCCGCTGCAGCCAGTATGGGAGAGACAGGCAACTCTATTAGCATGCTGCACCCGGCCTCGGGCCCCCTCCTCTCCCTCTTTTATGAGCCCTTGTTATATAAAGGCCACAAAGAGAAACAGAAAAGCAGACTTGCGGTCACAAACACAAGTTCCGATGGTCGGGCCAAACCCTGGCTGCCTACCAGATGTTATTTTTAGGCGTCTAAACGAGAAACATTTTTAAAAGGCCAGAGAACAAAAGTTTTCTGGCTTCCTTTCTTTCTTTTAAAGCACTCACACAAAAAAGATGGAGGCACTGTTCGCTTGGAGGCAATACTCCCGAATTCAAATTTAAAGGCAAAGACGTCCTGGGGGTAGAAGGATTGGTTCCCTCTCCCAGCCGCAAGCTCTATCTTCAAACAGGATTTTCAAAGATTTCCTTTGTAGCCTTATCTAAATTCCAGCATTCAGGATAATAAATAGCTACTCATTTACTATCATAAAAATTTAAACAGCCCCTGAAATAGTTGCCACAATACAGAGGAAACGATCGCGGGGAATCTCGAAAAGACCCACTTCAGATAGTGAAACTACAGCCTCGAAGCGCCCACATAAAGAGACATTGTTGCGAAGAGTCGCCTAGCACTGGCTTTCCCTTTTAAATCTTCTACTCGGAGCCCAAGACTCCACAACTTCATGTTTTACACAGGCTATCACACTGTTCCGGGTTTGTTGTTAAGATTTTTTTTTCAAGTATGTGGTTTGATTCTACACAGTGATTAAACATCTTTGTGCTCTGCGAGGAAGGGTCTTCTAACCCCTCCCCCTCCAAAAATGGCATCGAAGCAATCAAAATGGTAATGCCGGGCCTGGGTCCCCTCCCCCCGCGAACTCCCCGACTTCGCAGGGGCCGCGCACAGGCCCCCCTCCGGCGGGAATGGAAGCTTCCACTCGCGGACGGGGGCGCGCAGCCGAGGGGTGCAGGGGCCGGCTCCGACAGAAAGGGGCAAATGCCTGACTCCCCGGCCTACAGGTCCAGCAGGGCGCCCCCTCCCACCACTTTGCAACTTTAAAGACTCGGCTTGGAGCACAGGCCTGCGAGTCAATCCATATTCCCGGGGGACTTAAGAGAGGCCGGCCGCTGGGGAGGGGGGGACCCTCACGGGCTGGGGGAAGGGAGCCGGCCGGGCGAGGGTTCCCGGGCTGCCCTTGTCCGGGGCGGGCAGCGGCATTCCGAAGGAAGCGAGAGCAATGCCAGGGTGCTGGCGGCAGGAGGGAGGAGGGAGGGGCGCGCCCCCGCCTGCTGCCTCGGAGACCCGTGTGCACCATTGGCTGTACCGCTCAAAGTTCTCGGCCGGCGGCGCGCAGGGGGCGGGGGCGCGCGCGGAGGGGGAGGGGCGCGGGGGCGCGCGGCCGGCCGGGCTCCGGCGGCGGCATCTGTTCGTGGTGCTGAAACCTGGAGCGCTGAGCTCAGCGCAACTAACTCACAATGGACAACTTTTCCTTGCCGAGGGGGCGGCGGGCGCACACCCCCATGGCTGGAGCTCCTGACGGGTCTCCATATCCCCTTTTAGGCATAGACACCCAAGTTGGGGCAGAACTGGGGGTGTCCTGGGGGCGCCTTTCTTTTGTTCCCCGGGAGCTGGCCTCAGGTTCCGAGAATAAAAAGTGAGGCCGGCGGGATGGCATGGCAGGGAGGGGGCCGGCCAGGAGAGGGATCACCGGACCAGGCCGGCGGTGCCACCCGGAAATGGCTTCTAAGGAGTTTGGGGTGCAGGCCCAAATTGTCGTCCCCTTTCGTCCCCCTCCCACCGCAGCAGGAATCGGGGGATGCCAAGGCAGGGGAATGTCCACGTTCCCAAAACATGTCCACCGCTCAAGATGGACGCCGGGCAGCCGGCGCCTCGGAGGTACGGCGCGGATCTTTGGGCGGCCTCCGGAGCCTCACGCTCCCCTCAGCCGCCACCAACCAGCTCTTTTTATCAAGAAAGGGAGGGCAGCAACTTTGAGGAATGCAGCCAGACCCCCACGGGAGTCGGTGTGTGCAGCGCCCGCACGGGCACTTCTTAGGGTGCTGCCAAAGTGCCCGGCGACCCTCCCTGGGCCCCGGTCCTCGGTGGAGGTCAGGCCCCCTCCTTACTTGTTTGTCGCTGAGCGCTGCGATCCGTGGCTGCCTTTCGTGGAGCTGCTTCTTGAGGTCGCCGTTCTACGGAGACACAGAGGAGTGGGCTCAGCCTGGCCGCCCGGGGGTGAGAGGGGTGGCAGGTGAGCCCCGATCCTCGCGCCCCCACCTCCCAATGCCAGGCGGGCCAGGCCAGCCGCAGCGCGCCCCAAGTTTCTGGGGCAGCGTCCCGCACACGGACGACCGTGCAATGTCGTGCGGAGCCGCTTACCTGTGGCTGCCGCCTCATTGGGGCAGCTCCCGGGGCGGGGCGGGGGCCGAGGCCACCCGGCGGCGCGCCCCGAGCCGTGCAAGTTTGCAGGCCAGGGTGCGGGTGCGAGTGAGTGTGAGAGTGTGTGCCGGGGGAGGGGGGACGAACAAAGAGCCAAGTAAACACGGCGAGTCCGTGTCGAGCAAAGCTCATAAATATTCAAGTCGCGTCCTAATCTCCCCAACACACACACACATACACGCGCACGCCGCAATACCGTTCGGGCACCGGCCGCCACGGCGCCGCTCGCCTGAGTCACAATCGTCAAAACTACTTTTGCCTAACAGTCGGTGCCGGGTTGGGCCCGGCTCAGGAGGTTGGGAGCGGGCCTGTCCAAGCACCCTGTTCCCAAGAGAGCTCTAGGAGGGTCCCCTTTCTCGGTGCCCGAGTTGTGCAAACCGGGCGGCGACAGAGAAGACGCCGGGCTGGGGTCCCACGCGTCCTGGACCTACAAACAGTGCAGGATCGCCCAGAAGCTACGGGGACAAGGAGATCCAAGGGACATGGCCCCGGGACATGCTCCAGGAGAGGGCCTGCCCCCAAGCACCCCTGTGACCAAGAGTTAGATACAGAACTCTGGTCCCTCCACCCTCTACTTCTCAGGTCACAACTCCTCTCCGACCCAGGTCCCCGGACCACCTACCTGGTGGCGCGCGAGTTCCACCGCGAGCGCCTCGGACCGGCTTTGCAGCTCCATCGCCACAACTTGGGCAGCACTTTGCGCTCACTTTGGCCCGAGCTCGCGGGAAGTTGTGCTGCTCAGCGGGGACCAGACCGGGAGAGCTCGGATCCGACGTCCAGGCACTGGGGGACACTAGTCCCCCCCTGCAGCGCCGACAGGAAAGGGGGCTGACGAGGGGAAAGAAAGGCGAGCTTGCGCCCAACTCTTCCGGCTGCTGCTAAGTTGCGCCGGCTGCCCGGGCTGCCTGCGCCTCCCGGCGCATGGCTCCCCGGCGCCGGGAGCCCCGCGCAGCCCCCCAGCGCGCGCCCTGCCGCTGCCCGCTCCAGCTGACCCCTGGTAGGGACTATATTTCCTCCGGCGAGCGCGCCTGGATCTCGCTGGGGCCGCGGCAAAGTTGTGCCTCGGCACGATGCTAATTCGGCAGTGCCCGGATGGAGCGGGCCGGGGCGGCAGGGGGCGGTGCCGGGAACCCGCCGCCCGGCCGGCCCCGCCCCGTCCGCGCGTGCGCACTGCGTGCGACCCGGCGACCGAGCCCCGGGAACAAAAGTGGCGGCTGAGTGGAGCGCAAAGTCGCGGCTGTCAAAGCGGGGCGCCCGCGCTATCTCCTCGGTTTGCAGCCAAGAGCCGGGAGAACCGGGAATACTCTCGCGGTCCCACTCCGGGGGCGACACTTCCCGGCGCAAACTGAGATGCCACCGAACTGCTTCTCGCACCTCCTTCCTCCTCCACTTCCCCTCCTCGCCTCGCTCTCCGGTTTCATTGAAATCACCCCCGTCCTCTCCCGCCTGCGCGCCCAGCGCTGCGACTCAAGATGCTAAATTAGTCCTGACGCTAGAGTCCCCGCACTTGATGGCCGCCGTGGTGTTTAAACACTATGAAAACTGATCTCTTGGCTATCCCTTTAATGATTTTTTTACACTCACAATTAAACTCTCAACAGATGTCACTAGACTTCTTTTTTTTTCAGACAGTTGTTAAAATCGTAAACACGCTGGGTCAGTGTGACATAAGGCGGTCATAACTACGCTGAGGAGATGGTGTTTCAGAACTCCCAGTTCCAGAGCTGGGGGTCAACGTCTCGGAGTCGAGATTACGGCGGTGGAGTTTCCTGTCCTCATCAATTACTGTCGGGGGGGGGGGGGGGGGCTTTGTGCCCTGCTGGGCGCTAGCATGCTAGCACGTTGCAAAGAGGCAGGGAGAAAGGGGGCCTCCGTGTCAGAGTAAATGTGAATTGATGGCGACTCATAACTGACTCTTTCCATGGGTCACCAGGAAGGAGGGGAAAAAAAGGGAGGGGGAAACAAACAAACCAAAAAAAAAAAAAAAAAAAAACAGGCTCACACAGTCAGAAATGCCCCTTCAGTGGGTGCCAACACTCTACACATTCCCTTTACCCCTCAGCAGAAATCAGTTCCTCTCTCTCTCTCTCTCTCTCTCTCTCTCTCTCTCTCTCTCTCTCTCTCACACACACACACACACACACACACACACCAGAACACCGGTGTTGTTAGGGCTATATGCAGCGTGGGGTCACAGATGACTAAGATGAGATCAGATTAGTTCCTCCCACTTCTGGGTTAGCCCCAGTTCAAGACAATGTCTCCCACTGCGGAGAGGAGCTGTATTAGCGCCTTTTATGTTGCTGCAATGAAACACCGTGCCAAAGGCCATTTCTAGAGCTGTGTACCTGTCAGGGCTTACTTTTCCAGAGGGATGAGAGTCCATCATGGCAGAGGAGAGGTGACAGAAACAGAAGCTGAGGGCACAAGCAGGAAACAAGAGAATGACCGGGGAATGTCCAGTTGAAACCGTCTGCCCCTGGTGGTATTTCTTCCTCCAGTAGGGCCACACTTCTAAACCTACCCAAATAGCACCACCAACTTGGGATCACGTATTCAAACACCTGAGCTTATAGGGGACATTAGTACTCAAACCACCACAGGAGCCGTGCCGAATCCGGAACCAAGGTCCACTTCATGACTGTGGAAGGGACAGTTGTTTGTAGATGAGCTACTATATACCCTGGCGTGTGACTCTGGTCACCAGAGGTCATCCAAAGACTTGAACAGCACAACCTCTGCACACAACCTTTCAGGCTTCTAGCGTCTGAAACGTGCACTGAACATTCACTGAGCCGAGCCTAGAGCCCCTAACAGCAGTTCCAGACCCTGATTCCCTCCCAGACCCACCCTGTCTCAAGGTCCCCTATCGCATGCACTCCTGGTCTTCCTGTGTATAGCAGGCAATGCATCTGGTTGCCAACTCTAGTTCCTGGTCCAGAGCTTCTATGATTCTTGACCTTTCCTGAGAAGAGTGAATGAATTCTGTCGTTCATTAGGATCCCCCTTAGTCTCAGCACAGCCTCGGGATCAGGCCAGGAACCAAGGCAGGAGTCCAGTCAAGCTCTGGAGCCAGCTCACAGTGGCTGCCCAGCTCTGCTTAGGGCATGAGGAAGGTACTACAGAGACCATGAGGGCTGGCACAAGGCAAAGGAGAAGCTGAGGACAGAGACAAGGAGTAGCTATCACACTGTGCTAGCCCAGGCTAGCCAGGCTTTTTCACCACACCGCACTCAGTAGCTTGTCGTACTTTTACAGGCACGATAAACTCCAGTCCCAGCCGCAGTATTGCAAAGGATGTAATTCCTTTATTTTTGCAGCAGAATAAAACTCCATTGGGCATAACTACCACATTTCTTCATCCCTCCATGGCTAATTTTAAGACTTGGGTGGGCAGGTATTTCTGTACTAGTTGACTTGGATTCCTTCAAGTAAATAATTGGGAGTGGTACCCTGGGTTGCCCGGTTCTTCTGTTCTTGAAGAACTTCCATGCTGGTTTCCACGGGAAAATGACACAATGTCAGAAACCAGAGACTCTGCTTCCGTGTCCCCAAGGATTTCTGGGAACTCTCCAGTGGCTAATGGCCCTTTCCAGTCAGCTGCCCAACAACATCTCAGAAGAGTGGATCTGTGGGGAGACACTACAAGGCCTGGCCTGTGCTACCGTGTCGGGTGAACACCCGTGGCTGATGGGACCCCTGATGGTGACCCAACCACACAGCTGAGAGGGGATCTTCTGTGATGTCACAAAATCTCTCTCTCTCCCTCTTCTCTTCTTTGTTTCCATCTTCCTTTTCATCTTTGTCATCGTCTTTGTGTATGGGGGGGGGCAGTTCCCGCTGGCATGGAACTTGCTATGCAACAGAGGGTAATCTCAAATTCCTTCTGAGTGTCGGTCCTCATGCAGTGGTTCTCAGCCTTCCTAGTGCTGTGGCCCTTTGACACAGTTCCTCATGTTGTGGGGATCCCCTTGCTCCAACCATGAAATTATTTCCGTTACTACTTCATAACTATAATGTCGCTACTGCTGTGAATTGTTAGACAAATATTTGTGCTTTCCCATGGCCTTAGGTGTCTCCCGTGAAAGGAGTCGAGAGCCACAGGTTGAGGTCACTGGACTGGAGGAATGTCCCACCTTGCCTGGTTCATGCAGTACTGGGGACTGAACCCAGGGCTTTGTGCTAGACAAGCCCTCCACCAACTGAGCTGTCTCCCTGCAGAGTCCTCTCCTGGTGCACCCATTCTATTATCTAAGACCCGCGGTTTTGGATGGGCAGATTAGACGTGTAATTTCATGCTTAAATAAAAGCCAGCTTTTGTGCATTGCTGACTATGAGCCAGATTCATCTGCCCACGAACATATTTAATCCTTACCATCTTCCCCATTTACAGATGGGCAAACTGAGACCTCACAGCCATGTCTGTACATGGCAGAACTTGGCTCAGCCCCATCCTTTGAGCCATGTGGAGTTTATGTGTCATCCTGCCACTGTAGAGTGACCACGGAGATGGAGCTTGACCTCTGTGCTGCGTTGTTGAAACCTCATTTCCTGCGACAGCATAAGGACAAGGGAACCGAGGCCCAGAGATGGTCATGAGGGCCTCGCCCTGCAGTGGCAGAACAAATACGCAAGCTGTGGCTGCCGTCTCTGCCAGGCCCTGATGCTGTGTGGAAGAGCACGAGAGGTGGCTCTGAGGAGCCCGCTGGAGCCTGCCACCGACACTTCCTGCTCCTAGCGGGTGTCAGCATGAGGGGGCACAGGCAGAGAGATGAAGACCAGAACCGGGGAGGTGGTGGCTAAGTTTGGGACTAAGATCTGGAGAGGGCATTTAAGGAAAGTAGTGGCAAAGACTTGGTAGAGTATGTTATGTGGTGGAAGGCCTGTCACAGACCTAGAGATGAGAATGCTCTACCCCATTTACAGATGGAGCAACCAAGGCCACCCAGCCACGTGTTGGGCTGTATCGACCTGAATCCAGATTAGATACTGAAGCACAGGCTCTTTGAATTCAAGTGGTTCCTGAGCAAATGAAAGTAACCCTGGGGGTTGGGGGGCAGCAGGAGGGAGCAGGAGCTGCTTTCCCAGACCCAGCACGGGGTGGGCGGGAAGGAGTGCCAGCAGGTCAGAGGCCAGGGGAGCCTGGCTGGTAAAGGAATTTGGGGGATTTCTGATGTGAGGTGTGGCTATGACTACCTCAAACAAACATCCTTCTCTCAAAGATGGCTGGCTTCTCAGTTTCTTTGGAGCAGAAAAAGTCCCAGGGGGAGAGGCCCCCATACCTCTGAATAACTGATCACCTTCAGAGACAGCAGCTGGGATTAGAGATCTGGCAGGCGCTAGAGGTTCCTTGCTTCTTTACAGGAGTCTGGATTTCCTCCTGGGTTAAAAAAAAAAAAAAAAAAAAAAAAAAAAAAAAAACAGTGTAGGCTGAGGAGATGAAGGGAGAAAATGGTTAAGGAGCACAAGTGAGGTACAGCCTTCCCGCCCCAGGGTCCCTCAGTAAGAGCCATGAAGCAGAAAAAACCCACCCTGCGCCACCTGAGGATGCTCTGTCCCTGGGGTTTTATTATTAGCAGATCACCCTAATTAGTCCTTTCACACCTACGTCATCATAGATCCCAAGTCAGCTGCTCAGCTCGCTTTGGGAATGAGTCAATGTGTGGCGTGGAGACGTGGGCCGCCCTTTAAAAGGAAAGGGACGTTTGCGGGAACATGTTGAGTCCCCACCCTCTCCCATCTTTGCACCTTGAAGCTGGCAGAGCAGGAAGAGTGGAGCCCGTTTGGGTTTTCCTTCCCACACTTCCCACTTTAAAAAAGCGTGTGTGTGTGTGTGTGTGTGTGTGTGTGTGTGTGTGTGTGTATGAGTGCGCACACGTGTGTGTGTGTGTGCATATGTGTGTGTTCACATGCATGCACAGCATGTTTGTGGATATTAGAAGATAACTTTGGGGAGACTGTCCTCTACTTTTACCTAGTGGGTCCCAGGACAGTCTTGACAGGCTTGACCGTTACCACCCACGGAGCCATCTCGACAGCCCTTAGTGACATTTTAACTTCTGGCCAATAGTAAACCTAACCCTGGGCCCCTTTTGCAGAGGAACAGTGAGATGCCTG